CCCCGCGCAGTCCTAATCTCCCTGGGCTGGGGGCGCGGCTGCCGCGGTGGGGGAGACCGAGAGGGACCATCTGAGCGTCCAGCCTGCTGCCCAGTGGGCTTCAGCCCCGCTGCCACCAGCCTTTCCGGGCCGGGGGTGCGGGGTTAAGCGGCACCCCCTTAGCAGCGCTGCCAGTTGGCGGCTCTGGTCACTGCTGGGTCCGGGCTGGCTGTCTGCTCTGCTGACACCCGCCCCGCGGGCTGGGCCGGTGGGGGACGGAGTGCTGGGAGCAGAGCCCTCCCCGCATGCAGGGGCCAGCCGGCCACCCCTCGCAGGAGGGCCACAGCATCTGGCTCACGTGGGGGGCCCCGGACGTAGCTGTGGTCTGAGCTCCGCAGGCAGCAGTGGCCCATATGGCATCGCCCCCAGGGGTCCACGCATGCTCCCGGGTGCTGGCCCTGGGCTGGGGGCCCTGGGGTGCAGCTTCAGGGGGCAGAGGCCGGGTGCAGGTGTTAGGGCCGCTGTGTGGCTCACGCCCAGAGAGGGAGGCCAGGCAGGGAGCAGGAGGGAAGGCGCTTGGGGGACAGAGGCAGAGGCCTCAGGGGACAGGCAGGGCCAGCGTCCAGGGTCATTTCCAGGAAAGTCCTCCCAGCCTGGGGTCCTGTCCCCAACTTTCATGGTCCCTGGCACAGCAGGGATGCCCTGACTCTTGGCCAGCAGTCTGTGTAGGAAACCAGGACTGCTGGAGCCTGAGGGCAGCAGAAGGCCGGCGAGCAGCTGTCCCCAGAGGCCATCCTGACCCAGACTGGAGGCCTCGGGGGCCGGCGGGGAGCAGAGGGTGCCGCACACACAACCCAGGGCTTCAGGACTGAGGGCCCAGCCCCCGGCAGCCAAAGGCCCGGAGAAGGGCGCCAGGGAGGCCAGCGCAACGCGGAGGAGCGCGGTGGGCTGGGGCGGGTGGTCAGGGCTCTAGGGCCCCGGGCGGGAGGGGTCCGCGCAGACGTGTGTGCGGAACCGGTCAATGCGCAGAGACAGAGCCGACTCGCATGGTCTAACGGCTAAACGCCAAAGCCCCGT